TTTTTAAAGAGCACAACACATAAGATATCCTTTCAAATATACTAGGCATATTACTCATTTTGGACATTTCGATAAAACATTTCATTTAATTGATCTTTGGTTTTTGACAAGCTTCGACTAAATAGTTCACTTAAAATAATTTACAATTTTCACAAAGCAATACTTACTCAAACATCAAGTGTAAAATAATTTTCTACCAAAAATCAAAATTCGTCAAAATCAAAATATACTTATAATTATATTTTAAAACATCAAAAGTCTCAAGTAAATATAAAAATGTCAACATGTAACTCCAACACCACATGTCTCCTAATACATGTGTTCTAGACCTCAGGGTTAAGGGACAACCCTCTTTGATTCATTTCCTTTCTTACTGTTTACTTGAAATACCTCCTCTCCTTTACCTTGGTGAGTGAGGTAGTCCGCAAGTTCTTTTTCTTGGGCTTTCCGGTGTCAAAATTTGCAGTTTCTTGGTACCTTGCATTCCTAGTTCAGAGAAAAGTTTATCAGAATCCTTTGAGGCAAAATGGCCAAAAGCTAGTTTTTTTTAAAAAAAATTCAGAAACAGCCATGCACTTATTGCAGAAAATTGGAAAACTTTAGATTTAGGCAATGTTTGTAAAATTAAGTGTAACGGATTCAAACGATGTCCAAATCACTATCCGAAAATTTTGTTACAAAGCTAAGATCCTAAGGGTCAAAATAAACTTTTAAAAATTAAGTTTTCATGCACAGGAAAGTGCAGAAAAATTAAACTTCACTTCTGTTCACGCAGTTTTTTTTCAGATTTGCACCATTTTTTGTAATTCATTTCGTAAGGTATTCAAACAAAGTTCAAAATTTACATAAAAATATGCGTTGGAAAGCTGTTTTCATGTAGTTTACAAAAATTAATTTTTCAGGTTGAAATAGATCAATATAGACGGCAAAACAATTATTTCTTTACACTGTTTCTGCCGAAAACGTATAAATGAAGGTGCTAACGTATTCTATGCGGTGGAGGGGGCAAACGATGTCAGATTCGAGCTCAAGATACACTGTTGGAAAGATAATTCTGCCAAGGATACGTAAGGATGTTGCATGTCAGGTTTTGGAGATCACAGAAATGAGAAAAACAGTCTCCTTTGCTGCTGAAACACTGAAAACGCAGAACAAGGAGTGATCTCACCATTTTCACTATAACTTATGATTTTGATGTCCGTTTTAAGTGAAACCACTTGCGTTTGAAAGATCTTTCACTGTACAATCCAAATATGCAGAGGTTAGTGATCAATTGGATTTTTATAATATTATTTCCTCTAATTCCTAGCTCATTAATCCTCTTTTGTGCCTAATTGGTTGAATTGGATCATTTTATGATGTTTGAATTTTATTTGGGCTTTATTTAATTTTTTCAGTATGTGCCAAATTCTGATACTGTTTCAGTTTCTGGACCATATCTTGAGTTGTAGAACTCCTTTAATTGTGATTCTTGATTTGTAGGAAAGCTAAGAGAAAGTGCACAATTCCTATGAAGATGTCAGAAATCAATTATGATGATAAGAAGCTGAAACTGGGCCTGGAAAAAGTCAGAACGCTGCAGTCGCGGATCCTGAGCAAGGTGCAGTATTTGGGCCATATCTCAGTCCACAGATGTCCGATTAAGCCCATTCTAGTGGCATTTTGAAGCTAACATCCAACGGTACAATTGTCCTTCAGGCCACGAACCAAAAAGAGGCCGTTTTCATAGCCGAAAAAAGGGAACAAAGTGACGAACAGAATTTTGAATTTGGAATTTTAAGTTTTCTTTTTTGGCTCCTCATATTTTTTTTTCTTCTTCCTCTCTCTTCTCTCTATTTTCGTTTTTTTTCCCTTTCATGAATTGTTTCCCTCCATCCATGGAGGCTTAGATTCCTATCTGATTCAAGGATTAAAAGAGACATGACACTCTTGAGGATTGATTGATCGCACATTGGCATAAATTCAATAACAATTTCGGGTTTCATCTATTCCTTATTCTCTCCCTTTTGCTAATTATATTTTTGATTTGAAGTTATTCGTTTGGATTGATGATTATGCATGTGGTTGATTACGTATTATTCGATTGATGTATGTAATTGAGTTTTAAGGAACATGAATTGGATTTTCAGGTTTGAAAACTAAGATTAACGGCATTGGTAAATTAAATTGGCACAATTCAATTAGGTTCTAGAGTTTTCTGAATTTTAATTAATTATGTGCTAATCGAATGCATGAAGGTCTTCATGTGAATGCTGAGTTTGAATTGAGGTTTCATTCGAATTCATTGTTAATTACCGAATTGTTTGTTGATGTACTCTCTTAGAAATCCGGTGATAGAGTAGTCATTTTTCTTCTTAATTCTTGGATTGAAATTTCAATTTCTGTTCACTCTTTATTCTAATTATAATTAAGTGCATTTTTGTTTCCTTTATAAACAAACCCCACTCGTCTTATACACTCTACAAATAGGGATGGCAATGGGTAGGGTATGGGTAGGGTACTACAATACCCATCCCCATACCCGCGTTTTAAAAAAATACCCGTACCCAGCCCCATACCCTCGTGGGTATGAACATTAATCCCCGTACCCGTACCCTCTGGGTACCCGCATACCCGTCTTGTACCCATTACCCGCGCTTGTTTGAGAAAAAAATATTTATAAAGAAAAATATGTTTATATAACTTCACATAAGTAGCATAATAATACAAAAATTCAATATGTAGTAGTCGAACAAGGTACAAATATAGATAAAAAAATAAATATTCAAAGATCATAAATGTTAAATGTATCTTAATATAATAATTTTCTAAACTAAAATTCTTAGAAACAATAAGCAAAACTAAACACACAAGTTATTTGTTAGTGATAATCCTATCTTGTGTGAGATTTGATTGTTGGTAATGTCAGAACGACAACGAAATAGATCTGTACAATAGTTGTCCCTTCGTGCGGGATCACGTAGTAACTTCTTGTGACGGCATTAACAACTAATTCTAATGAATAACATTTCATAGTTATTAAGTTTTAGTAAGACAGACATTGAGATTGAGAATAGAGTTAGAGTAGAAAAGTTCAATATTAACAACAGAAAGTTGATACATAAAATATTTTTTTTAACTTTTGAATTTGAAATTGTAAGAAAAATAATAGATTTAATTAAAATAATATAATATAAATAATATATATATATATATATATACTAGTATTTTTTAACTCATATACTATACGAAAGTATTTTATCAAAAATATAAATTTTTGAAAAATTATTTTAGTGAATTAAATATTTATAATGTATATAAATTTAAAAAAAAGAATTTGAATAAAAGATAAATAGTTACAATAAAATTTTATAATAAAGAAATATACGTGTATATTAAAAAAATTAACAAATAAAAATTAACAATAATTTTTATATTTATATCTTTTCAAAAACTTCTTTGAATGTGAATAAATAGTAAGAATAATATTATTTAGATTCAATAGATTATAGTTGTACTTGTAATACATATGTTACATAGAAAAATATTATTTTAAATTAAAATATAAAAATAAAATTTAAATATTATTAATAAATAATAAGTTTACGGTAATAGTAGGTGATTGTAAAATTTATAAAATATTTATAATATATTTATTATTTATCATTCACTTTATGATTTAAACATCAATATGATTTTATTAACAAAAATATTTGTGTAAAAAATATTTTATGTGTGTCATATATAAATAATATTTTTAAAAAAAGTTAATCTTATATTAACTATGTAATAATTAAATTGTGTTAGCCTAATTAAATGATATAAAATAGTAAATAAATTTTTCTATTAAAAATATAAACCAAAATAAATTTTTTGGTTTACTTTATTATTAAATATATTTTTATATTAATCTTATATAACTTCACATAAGTAATATAATAATACAAAAATTCAATGCATAATTGTAGAATAAAGTTCAAGCATATATATATATATATATATATGCGGGTATGGGGCGGGGTGGGTACTTAGATACCCATACCCGCACCCATCCCCATTAAAATTTGCGGGTTTTTACCCACACCCATACCCGTATAGCGGGTAAATACCCTACCCATTATGGGTAAATTTTGCGGGTGCCCATCGGGTACTTTACCCATTGCCATCCCTACCAAATAGATTAATTTGCCATTGTGATTCTTTGAGAAACGACCCTAGTTGCTTACCTCGTACTATAGTAATTAGGTTTATTTTGACCCGTGTACGACCTCGTGTGAAATTGGCGCCGTTGCCGGGGAATCAATGGCGTTTTTAACATATTTAGAGTGTTAATCTTCCTTAGTGTGTTTTGCGTTCTGTGTTGAGCGTTTTTGCATTGAGATTGTGAGTCTTGTAGGCAAAAATTTCACTACCAGTTTGACCTTGGGGTTTGAGGCTGAATTTTGGTGTCCAAATAGCATTCATCACGCTGATCAACTTTGTCCAAAGGAGCTCCTATAAATTCCTTCATCTGGTAGGTGTTTTTCTACAAACGGGTAAAAATGTAATTTTTCTGGCGACTAACTCGGATTGAGTTGAAACTTGGTCAAACATTACAGAAAAATTCAAGGACTAAATTGAGTTGTGCACCCCTGAAATTCCAAAATTCCATCGTTTAGATCACTTTTTCAAGTTTTTTAGTATTCTAGGATTTTTAAAATTAGTAAAAAAAATTTCAAAAATAGGAAATTTTATTTCTAGTACTTCTGTGGTGGTCCTATATTTTTTAAAATTATTTCATTAGTTTTATTTCCCTATTAGCATTCTGTCGGCATATTGTGTGTCCATCATTCTTATGTGTCTGATGTTGCATGACACGAGCTAAGCCTGGTGAATTGCATCCTTTTAATCCTGAAATTGATAGGATATTTCATCATTTAATTAGAACACATAAAAGACTTACCTTTACTAATATTCAAGTTGATAGTGTAGGTTCTATTAGTAGTGTTAATCATTCTATTTTTGTGCATTCTGATTTTGAGGATATTATTAATATGGCTAATAGAACTTTGAAGGAACTTGTAGCACCTGATGTTAACTATCACGCTTTGGCAATTCAGTATCCAAATTTGGATGCAGACTTTGAGCTCAAGTCAGGGCTGATACACCTGCTGCCCAAGTTTCATGGCTTAGTTGGTGAAGACCCTCACAAGCACTTGTAGGAATTCCATGTGGTGTGCTCAAACATGAAACCACATGGAGTGGAGGAGGACCACATCAAGCTAAGGGCATTTCCTTTTTCTTTGGATGGATCTGCCAAGGATTGGTTGTACTACTTGCATCCTGGTTCCATCACAAGCTGGCAGGACATGAAGAGGATGTTCTTAGAGAAGTTCTTCCTTGCCTCAAGAGCTGCTTCTATTAGGAAAGAAATTTGTGGCATAAGGCAGATTACTGGAGAGACTCTACATGAGTATTGGGAGAGGTTTAAGAAATTGTGTGCAAGTTGTCCACACCATCAAATCAGCGACCAGCTCCTCATTCAATATTTTTATGAAGGTCTCATGCTAATGGACAGAAGTATGGTTGATGCTGCTTCTAGAGGGGCTCTGGTAGACAAAACTCCCACTGCAGCTCATGAATTGATTGCAAACATGGCTGCCAATGCACAACAGTTTGGTACCCGAGCCATGGTGTCTACAAGAGGAGTGAATGAAGTGAAGACCCCTGATACAAACCAGCAAAGGATGGAGAACATAATAGAAGAGTTGACAACTTTGGTGAGGCATTTGGCACTCAGTCAGACACAGCAACCTCAGCAGTCCATTCCAGCAAGCATTTGTGGAATTTGCTGTGTACCAAGTCACGCAACAAATCAATGTCCATAGATGCAAGAAACCAATGAAACAGTTGCTGGAATTTTTTCTGGAAAACCTTTCCAACAGTAGCAGCAAAGGAATTATGACCCCTTTTCCAATACATACAGTCCCGGATGGAGAGATCACCCGAATCTGAGGTATGGTAATTCTAATCAGTTCTAGCAGCAGCAGCAACAACCTCAATATCAGTTCAGGCACCATGCTGCAGAACCAAACATGAGGCAACAATATTCACAGCAAGCTAAACCAGACCAACAACAAAGCAGTAGCTCAGAACTGAGTCTAGCAGATTTGGTGAAGCAGATGGCAACCAGCAGTGTCCAGTTTCAGCAGAGAACAGAAGCCAATATCCAGAATCTGCAGACACAGATTAGTCAGTTGGCTACAACAGTAAATGAGCTGAAATCGCAAGGTTCTGGCAACCTTCCCTCCCAATCTGTGAGTAATCCAAGGAATGTGAGCGCCATCACTTTGAGAAGTGGCAAGCAGCTTGAAGTTCCAAGTGCTGCAGCAGAAAAATCAACTTCTGCAGAGATAGATGCAACTGAAGAGCAACCAGAGCCATCCAGCAAGAGAGACAGTAGCCATTCTGAACCAAAAATTCCGCTGCCTTTTCCAAATAGAGTGACTCAAAACAAGAAGATAACAGAGGCAGAAATAGACAAGAAGATCATGGAAACTTTTAGGAAAGTTGAAGTCAATATTCCACTCCTAGAAGCTATCAAACAGATTCCAAAGTATGCCAAGTTTCTCAAGGACTTGTGCACTCATAGAAGACGGCTAAAGGGAAATGAAAAAGTGAGCATGGGTAAAAATGTTTCTGCCATCATTCAGCCAAGCATTCCTCCAAAATGCAAGGATCCTGGGACTTTCACCATTCCATGCATCATAGGAAGCGAGCAATTCAGTCAAGCCATGTTGGACCTTGGAGCTTCAATCAATGTGATGCCCAAATCAGTCTACCAATCTTTGCACATTGGAAAGCTCAAGCCAACGGGAGTGGTGATCCAACTTGCCAACCGAAGCACAGCACACCTTGAAGGAGTTTTAGAAGACGTGTTGGTAAGAGTAAATGATCTTATTTTTCCTGCTGATTTTTATGTGTTAAACATGGAGGATGATGTTAATCAACCAACATTGATCTTAGGTAGGCCATTTTTTAAAACTGCTAAAACTAAGATTGATGTACACTCTGGTACTTTATCCATGGAATTTGGAGATAACAATGTGCATTTTAAATTGCATGATGTCATGAGATATCCACCAGAAGAGCATTCTGTGTTTCATTTAGACATCATTGATACATTGCTTGATGATATGCATGAGAATTTGTGTGCTGAGTTTCCTGAAATTGTAGGCATTAGAGATGACTTTCAATGTTCATATTGTGATGGAATTCATGATTTATGTGCTGTTTGTGCCGAATTTAACGCATGCATATATGGTTCAGAGTCTGCACAGAATTTACATGCTGATCCTGGAAGTTTAAGTTATGATGTTATTAGAACAGATTCTGATTCTAGTTTTGCAGTAGTGGAAAATACTGATTGTGCACATTCTGATTATTCTGTGGGGTGTGGAAATAACTCTTATGCTAATCTTTCTGTTGTGGGATATGATAATGCTCTTGTGCAAGATTTTTCACACGTTGCAGGTACTAAGATTAGAAAAACAGAGCAGATTCCAAGATTAGCATCCTCCATACAAGAGCCACCCACCTTGGAGCTGAAACCTTTACCAGAAAATTTGAAGTATGCATTCTTAGCACCAAATGAGAAGCTACCAGTCATCATAGCCTAGGATTTGCAACCAGAACAAGAAGAGAAGTTGCTAAACATTCTGAAGCAGAACATAAATGCTTTAGGCTGGACATTGGCTGACATACCTGGGATTAGCCCTTCACATGCATGCACATAATTCAGTTAGAGGAGAGAGTAAAACTAGTGAGGCAGCCTCAGAGGAGATTGAACCCTCTGATTCTGGATGTGGTCAAGAAAGAAGTCAGCAAGCTTCTAGCTGCTAGCATCATTTACCCAATTTCAGACAGTAAGTGGGTGAGCCCGGTGCAAGTGGTTCCAAAAAAGACTGGAATAACAGTAGTAAAGAACTCGAAGGATGAGCTAGTTCCCACAAGAGTGCAGAATAGCTGGAGGGTCTGCATTGATTACAGGAAGCTGAACCAGGCCACCAGGAAGGACCACTTCCCATTACCCTTCATTGATCAGATGCTAGAAAGATTGGCAGGTCAGTCACATTACTATTTTCTTGATGGATTCTCTGGTTATTTTCAGATTCACATTGCACCTGAGGATCAAGAGAAGACAACCTTCACCTGTCCATTCGGTACATTTGCATACCGGAGGATGCCTTTCGGTCTATGCAATGCCCCAGGTACATTTCAGAGATGCATAGTGAGCATTTTTTTTTATTTTCTAGAGAATTGCATGGAAGTCTTCATGGATGATTTTACTGTTTATCGTACTTCATTTGATGCATGCTTGGATAGCCTTGCTAGGGTATTGAAGAGATGTGTTGAGTCTCACGTTGTTTTGAATTATGAAAAGTGTCATTTTATGGTTAAGCAAGGTGTAGTCTTAGGACATGTTATTTCTGGTGAGGGTATAGCTGTTGATAGTTCCAAGATTGATGTTATTGCTTCTTTACCTTACCCTACATGTGTACGGGAAGTGCGTTCTTTTCTTGGTCGTGCAGGTTTCTACAGGCGATTTATCCAAGGTTTTAGTAAAATCGCCCTTCCACTTTCCAAGCTTTTGCAGAAGGATATAGATTTCCAGTTTAATGATGAGTGCAAAAGAGCTTTTGATCAATTGAAGCAGCACCTAATTTCTGCTACTATCCTACAGTTACCGAACTGGGAGTATCCGTTTGAGCTCATGTGTGATGCATCAAACCTTGCAGTTGGAGCTGTACTTTCCTAGAGAATTGGAAAGACCCCTCATGTCATAGCATATGCTTCCAGAAAAAGAGCTCTGGCTATCATTTTTGCTTTAGATAAATTTCGTGCTTATCTGTTAGGAACTAAAGTGACTGTTTTCTCTGATCATGAAGCATTGACGTTCCTATTGAAGAAGCCAGATGCTAAGCCCAGACTCATCAGGTGGATGTTGCTGTTGCAGGAGTTTGACATAGAGATCAAGGATAAGAGTGGAGCTGAGAACCTGGTGGCGGACCACTTGAGTCAAATTCCACAGACTTTGGAGCCTCTACCTATCCGTGAGAACTTTCCAGATGAGCAGCTTTTAGAGCTACAAGGTAAGGACCCATGGTATGCTGACTTGGTTAACTATCTAGTTGCCTCTGAATTGCCTGCTTATTTTAAAAAGCATTAGATAGAGAAACTTAGGAGTGAGGCTAAATATTATGTCTGGGATGATCCTTATTTGTGGCGCATGTGTAGTGATCAGATTATTAGGCGTTGTGTGCAAGAGCTTGAGATTTCTTCCATTTTGCATTTTTGTCATACACTTGCTTGTGGTGGTCACTTTGGGCCACAACGCACTGCTAGGAAGGTCTTAGATGCAGGTTTTTACTGACCCACATTGTTTCGAGATTCTTACACCTATTGTAAGAATTGTAAACAATGTCAGAAGACGGGTACTATCTCCTGTAGAAATGAGATGCCTCAACAACCATTATTGTTTTGTGAGATATTTGATGTTTGGGGTATTGATTTTATGGGTCCATTTCCTGTCTCATTTGGTTTTGTTTATATTTTGTTGGCTGTTGATTATGTCTCCAAGTGGGTGGAGGCCAAGGCCACCCGAACTGATGACTCTCATGTTGTTGTAGATTTTGTCAAATCACACATTCTTTGCAGGTTCGGAGTACCTCGGGCAATCATCAGTGATCAAGGAAGCCATTTCTGTAACAGGAACATGGCATCCCTACTAAAGAAATATGGTGTCACTCACAAGGTTTCAACTCCATACCATCCGCAGACTAATGGACAGGCAGAGGTATCAAATAGGGAGCTAAAACATATTCTGGAGAAAATAGTTCAGACAAACAGGAAGGATTGGAGCAAGAGACTTGAAGATGCACTGTGGGATTACCGCACTGCCTACAAGATCCCTTTGGGAATGTCTCCCTATAGAATTGTCTTTGGCAAGGCATGCCACCTTCCGGTGGAAATTGAGCACAAAGCATATTGGGCAGTTAAGAACTGTAACTTTGATATGAGCCAGTCCGGACTTCACAGGAAGTTCCAACTTCAGGAGTTAGAGGAGATTTGGTTGGAAGCCTATGAGAACTCCCGCATGTACAAAGAAAAGACAAAACTCATTCATGATAAGATGTTGCTGCGAAAGGAATGCTCCATAGGC